TAAGATTTTAACAGCATTTTTTCTTTTTTAAGATATTACAATATTAGAGATATTAATATGATTTCTAAGCATTAACTGATGAGTAGAATAAAATAATACTCGAATTACTAGTATTTTATTAGTAACTAGTAACTACTAATAAATAGTAATTACTAATTAGTAATTACTGTTATCATTCGATTATTTTTCCTAATAATCGAGTTACTCGATAAATACCAATAATCGAGTTACTCGATTATTTTCTCTCGATTATTCCCATCACTAATCATAATAGGCCGCCGAAAGATACGTATAACTGGGGGTAAAAGTGCTCCTAGTAACAAATAAAGTTACTAATATTGCAGGTATACCTATTTAGATGTTTACTATTTTCAACAAATTTTGGTCACGAAAATTCACGGATATTATGCATATTAAATTTTAATACCACACAATGAGTATAATATTATTTTGATTCTTAATGTTTTCATAATTAATAATGTTTTTAGTTATTTTGATTATTGTGTTTTTACAACACATGTATAGATGTGCCTAAAGGCGGCTTTAGAAACATTTGAGGGCCATCGATAAGGTAGTCGATACCACGGTTTAAAATATATATCTTAAACCGTGGTCGATACCAGTCCATTATATCTCAGTCCATGGTTCTCAAGCTGTGGTACGCGTACCACTAGACAGTGGTACGCGGAAGGCCGCACGGTAGTAGAACGGAAAATTAAAAATAAATATTAGATTGATAATAAGACGTTATTTAATTCATATCTTAATTTATAAACACTAATAAATTTGTATTAATCAATAATTATATATTGTAGTATTTTATTGTATTTTTATTTAAAATAAATGTATTTAACTATGTAAAGTTTGTATCGTTTTATTTTTAGTCATCAGTGGTACGTGACTGGTTGATAATATACTTAAGGGGTACAAGAAAAAAAAGTTTGAGAACCGCCGGTCTAAAGAATATTAATATGATAACGCCGTGTGGGGCGTGAAGTGATAAGAGTTAAAAAACCGTCGATTGTCGGCCGCCGCCGGACGTAAATCGTTAAAACGAAACGTGATTATTATTATTATTATTATTAATATTAATTTTTTCCACTGTCAATCGTCATACCTATTATTATTTTCAATTTGCTCACTCATCGTTCGTCCGGCGTTGAAGTAGCGTTTCTGTTGGTGTCCATAAATCAATTGGTGGTTTGTCCCGTGGTTTCAATCCAACAACGAAGAGAATGAAGAAAATTGCAATTTTCGGTGCCACCGGTATGACGGGACTGTGCACCGTTGAAGCCGCTTTGAAACAAGGTGAGGATTTAAGCAGGGACAAAAAAGTCATCGAGAACATTGCATAGCTGACGGTTTTCTAAGCGATTTTTTTTCGACGATTAGTAAGGACTCGCCGGAAATTATGTTAAAAAAACTTTGATTGCGCAGGTCTGGAAGTCAGGGCTCTCATGAGGGATCCCAGTCGTATGCCCGAAGAACTTCGCAGTCAAGTAGAAGTGGTTACAGGCGATGTCCTGGTCAAAGAAGATGTAGACAAGGTCGTAGAGGGCAGAGACGCGATTGTCGTGACTTTGGGAACCAGAAATGACTTGGGTATGATAATATTTGATAAAATAATATTAGGTAGATTGTGACCGAGTTATGACCAATACTTTATTAATTGTATATTAATCAAATTACTTTTGCAGCTCCTACCACAATAATGTCCGATGGGTTGAGAAACATTTTGACATCAATGGAAAAAAACAATGTGAAAATCGTATCAGTCTGCTTATCCAGTAATATTGTTTATGCATTATAATAACATTAACAATGTTATATACTTGTTTGCTTTTTTGATCTAAGTATTAAACACTTTGTTAATTTCAGCCTTTTTATTTTACGATAAGCCCAAAGTGCCTGCAATGTTCCATGGCATCAATGACGATCATGAGCGAATGTTGCATTTGCTACAGGCTAACGAATCTCTGGATTGGATTGCTGTGATGCCACCACACATTGCTGGCACTCCGTCAGGCGAATACAGCGTGGAAATCGGCTCATCACCGGGTCGTGCCATTTCGAAATACGATCTCGGAAAATTTATGATTGAATGTTTGTCTAAACCTGATTACTATAAACAGAGATGTGGTTTGGCAACCAAAGTACCAGCTCCGTGAACCAAAAATTTGACAATAAAGGAAATTAAATAGGTAATTAAATGTGTTACGCAAATGGAATCAAAATCTTGGGGGCAGATGATAATCTATAATATTATAATTACTGGATATGTAATGGAATAGATAAGGAAATATTGAATATAAATTATATTAAAAAAATTGTTGATGGAATTTGATATTTATACTATAATATAATTATATACAATATAATATTAAATATATATGTTTGTTTATTGGTTAGTAACAAATTGTGTGTTTATTTTCCCTTCTTTTTCTTTTTATATTGTCCTCCTTTTCGGTGTTGAAGCCTGGGTGCGTTCTCCGAAGGCACTTGAGCAGTTTGAGGTTTAGGTTGAGCCGCAATGTTTTTGATGTTACTAAGAAAAATAATAGTATATTAAATTATTTTTAAAATAGCACAAAATAAACTTGTTAAAAAAAGTTAAATGTAAACTAATTAAATTTATAAAACATCATAATATTCAATTTTGAATTAAGCGAAATATACCTATTCTATTATAAGTTAGTGTTGTATTAAATAATATTTTAAATTTAGGGCAGTTATAAAGTTAGCATTAAAAAAAAACCACTTAATTTTTCATACTTTGGGATATAAGCATACATTTCTACAAGTTTTTTTTTTATTATTAATTTAACACTTATTCAATTTGACAAACACAATACAAATTGTATGGTTATTTAACTTATGTAATTAATATTTTATATGAAAATTGCCTATTCAAACGTATTTATGGGTAGTCTTAAAACTTTTTTAAGTGTGTAGGTAATCAATTATACTCAACTAATGACTAACACAGGAATTACTATGACTTGAAAAATAATTGATGTGATGTGTGATTGATTAATAATTGGTCAAATTAAGTATAAATTATAGTTTTTACTAACAATTGTTCACTTGACACATTGCTGGCCCCTTGAGTTCCTTTACCAATGCCCGTTTCTTTGCTTCTTCTGTCTTTCTTCTTGCGGTATCCAGTACGCTCGTGTCTTGGCAACCAGCGTTCAGGATTAGGAGGCACATCTGGGTTGAAATTTTTAGGCAGTATAATCTTTCTCTTCTTCTTACGTTTCTTCTCTACATCCGTCTTAGATCTGCGTAATGAATAAGACATTAATATAAATAAAATAATAAAATATAATTTTATGGATGACTTATGGTAAAATATTTATTTCACGCGATTTAGGTTTGGCAAAGTCAGAATCAATCTAGTAGTGGTATTATAAATAATATTTTTATTTTTCAACACACATATTAAATTGGATGTATGTAGGAAAATCTATATAGTTTTTACTCTAAAAATGCAATTTATAGATTTTTTCATTCCTTAGATCTAAAATATGTAATTAGCATAAAATGTAATGATTCAATTTCTTTCAAGTTTTTAAGACATAAAATGAATGGAATATTACTCGTTTTTATAGTTATATTTAATAGTATTGAAATAAAATCATTGACTGTACTAAGAATTCAAATTATTTTCTCAACTTATCTTGATTGATAATCATTTTCTATTAAATAATTACCCTGCAAAGTCTGGTTTCAAAGTAGACTTTTTGATTAATTTAGATCCCATCATCCAGTTAGTATTCTCGAGTAAATCTATGTCTGTATCTTGGAGGTCCAATGGTGGAAGTTGTTTACTGTACATTTGAGCTTTTTCCGGGTCAAACTAAAAGTAAAAATAATTACATTTTACATTTTTTAAAGTTTCCAGGTAACCACTTCAAAGTTAAAATAATTAATCCATTATAAAAGTAGCAGTTATTTTGATTTACTGTTGATTCTACTTTACAATGGCACAGTGTCTTATTTATATTTGAAAAAATTATTGATAAAATATTTAATTTAAAAAATGACAAATTTGGTATAAATGTTAATCAAAAATCTTAATTTTATTTAACTCATCAAATATCTGCAACATAGCTTGTTTACAATCATTAAGGATATTACACAAACAGAATATTATGTTGAGCTACTGGTCCCTGTTTTATTTATAATTTCTATATGTGTAATGTTTTGTTGAGACATGTCTCGCAGCTTATTGATACCTATTTATAATTCAATTGTTTGTCAAATGTCATTATAAGTACTATTGTAGCATGATAATATATTTATATATTTTATGTTGAGATGATATAATAATTTACAAAAAAATAAGTTATTATCGCCTTAAATATATTATTCTTTAAGTACTATTTTTTTTTAAATTTGATTAATCAATATTTTGCCACACTTAGTTTATATAACGTTTGACATTGTATGCTTCTGTCTTTCCATTAAGTTAACTTGGGAAAACACAGTTTTCACAGTTAAGTGGGATCAATACTTATATTTCATTCAAAGGAAAAACAAAATTTAGATTGAATTTCTTATTGAATAATGACATACTGATTAATAAATGTTAAAATAAATATTTATCAAACCTGAGTGTAGGCGATAATAAGTTGCGCCAAAAACTTTTTATTATTAGGATTTAATTCAAGTAGCCGAGTCAGACGTTTAGCAGCTTCTTTGGGATCTTGTTCTCGTAAATGTAATTTTGCAAGTTGTTTTAATAGAATGGTTATCTTTGAATTATCCACCTATTGCATATTCAAATGTTTAAATGATTATAATCCATTTTGAAGAATTGTGTTGAATGTTAAATAATGAATAAGAATAATATATTACCTCTTTTTGACTGTACCAAGACAAAGTATCATTAAATAAGTCAGATGCCGCTTTAAAATTGTCAACATTTAAATACAGCGTAACAAGTGTGCTCACAATTCCAAGTTTATACTTAAATTCACCAAGATTTTCCAGCAAAGTAATTGCTTCATTAGTGTTGTTCTGGAGAAAAAAAAAGTAATAATAAATAAACATCAGTAAGTAGTCAATATGAAAGCATATTTTTTAACATGATATAATCAAATAAAAAACATTTTTTTTATACATACATATATTATACAGTATTATTCTTAATCGAAATAATCAAAATCAAGTGATGATGTTTCCAAAAGGTACAGTAAATTAACTTTTATTTTAAATGCAAAAAACCTTGATATGCATTGTTTAAAAAAATTCAAATACTCAAGTATTAATATAAATTATTTTAATATTGTATACTAAGTAGATCATTAAAGATAACTTTTTTATAGTTTAAACTGCATAACAACAAGTTCAGTTATGGTCTTAAATTGGAAAAGATTCATTTAGAATTCAAAAAAAATGAATTACTATTCATTTTAAGTTAACTAACAACTCTCCGCTAGTAGCGGAGTTTACAAGACTTGTGTCTGTTAGACAAGGAGTATTGTTGGGAATAATCATGGCCAATAAATAATAATATGGCAAGAAACAATTATGTTTTATTCACGCTAACATAAATAGTGAAATATAATAAAACAAATTAGAATTAAGATATGAAATTGAAAAATTATCATTGATTAGTTTTTAATTCTGATATCAATATTTAAACTTTATACCTGCAGTAATAATAATTTCACAGCCACCAAAGTACAATTGAGCTTAGCAGTGGGATTTTCTTGTTTGTATACAAACTTCTTCAATAAATCAATAGCTTCAGAAGTTTTGTTTTGACGCCAGAACATTACTGCTTTTAATAATGTAATATCCTCAATTAGATCAGGATATTTCTTTTCAATGTTATAGCACAATTGAGTACACTGATCTAACTAAAAATAATAAAATTAATTAAATATATATATTGGTTAAAAATAATAATATTTATGTAATTATCTCATTTATTACTTGATTAGTGATTAACGCAAAACGACAATGATTCAACATAACTCTTTTCAACTGCCAAGTATTCAACTTGTGAGTTAATTCATCAGATAATGTTGACTTCAGTTTTTTTTTGGAATCAAACACATTGTGTTCCCGATTCAATACTACCAAATTGTTTGAAGCAATGGCTAGAGATCCAATATCTTTTGGCTTGTACTTTAATACGTCAATGTATTCAGATTGTGCTTCTTTCTCACGGCCTAATTTTTGTAAGCAATAAGCCCCTTGTACTCTGAAAAATAATGGATTAGTTTAATGCCAATAACAAAAATCTTCTGTTTTTTTGATATAATTTATGCTTAAATGTATAAATAATAATAAATAAAAACTGTATTGAAATGAAAACAAGATTAATAATTTACTGGTTACATTTATATTACATTTAGTACAAAAACTATATATTTTTAAGCTTTTACGTAATATAATTTGAAACTTGTAAAATGTAATTAAATTAACCATAATATATTTATTGTTAAGAAATATTTATGTATCAAATTTAGGTATAAAAGTTTGAAATAAATACAATCATACTAATTACTCAGAAATCAGTTATTATTAACTTTGAAAAATAATTATTATTATTGTTATCTCCCAAATATTGTATTATTCATTATAATAATAATGTAATAATGTAATAATTATTTTGTATTTTTAAATAGTATCTTAGTTTGAATAATAAATTTGTAATTTGTATATTAGGTACACTGTTTTTCAAACTAAAGTGGTAACTTGCTTTACTTAATTACATTTTATGATTTGATGTAACATTTATATAAAAATGCTATATGTAACTACACAATGTAGTATAAATGTTTATAGTGGATATACATTTTAAAGCAACAATTTCACTAAATTAGTGTGATATAAATTGTATGATATACCAAATTCAAAATATAATTACTTAATAGCTGTTAGCTCTTCTTGTATTTCTTCTTCTGTCGCTTCCTCGTCTTCCAATGTATTTCTACATGATTTGGCAGCCTGATCAAGTAAATCTTGAGCTTTTTCAATCTCTCTTCTTTCAATTAGTACACAAGCAATGTTATACATAAATTCATAAGTGTTATGTTGTTTAACAGTTGGAATGTCATATTTGTTCTAAAAACAAAATAAAAAATTAATTATTGAATTGAGTATAGTACTATAAAATGGGCTTAGCAACTTACATCTCCTAACTTAGAAAGTTGAGAAATAACAGCTGTAAGATTTGATTCCCTTTCATTTGTAAAACTGTCTTTACTCTGTTTGATAATATCTCGATACATGTCAAAACATTCATTATACCTAAAATTATTAAAAATTATTTAGTGTGAATTACAAAACTTATAACCAATAAACACACATTAAGTGGACATTACCCATGCATTTGTTGTCTCCTTCTTACACACGTACGACATAGAACATTTTAATTCACTAATTTCAATAGTGTG